GCTAGTATTTTGGAAATATTACTCATAGTAATGATAAAAATGTATTTCTTTTCCATAGGACAGATTTACTTAACATCTGAAGTCCAGCCCCTAGCTGCTGGTGTCTATAAGCACCAACTTTAACAAATAATTCTGTAGCTATCGACACAGCTAAATTTTAATTTAAAATATGTTATGCGTTATGCTGTGTGTGGTCAACAAGACTATTTTTAACCTGATGGTCACCCACTGTGAAATTACATGTAACTTCTGATACACAGATCGACCCTAGAGCTGAAGACATTTTTCCCCCCATTGAGATTGCAATGGTTTCTATAAAAGCAGGATGTCTTTTAGCAAATGCAAATACTCAGATAACATGTTGCTTTCACAAGCAGCCTGCAATGGGTTACGGAGAATTTTCTAGGTTTTATCAAAATAACCTCTTTGTACAACAGGGCAAAGCGTACAAGGGGGAACACTGACTCTTTTCCTAGTGAACGTTGGTACCTAAATCATAGAATGGTTTGCATTGTAAGGCACCTTAAAGGTCATCCAGTTCCAACCCCCCTGCCATGGGCAGGGACACCTCCCAGTAGCCCAGGTTGCTCAAAGCCTCATCCAGCCTGGCCTTGAACACCTCCAGGGATGGGGCATCCACAGCTTCTCTGGGAAACCTGTTCCAGTGTCTCACCACCCTCACAGAAAAAAAATTCTTCCTAATAGCTAATCTAAATCTATGTTAGTCTACATGTACACTGATCTTTTAGAGTCACTCAATGCCATCCATGCAAAAGGTGTGGCAGCTGATATTACTTTATGGCCCTGCAAGAGGGTGGCTTAAATGCACCCCAGCAGTTCAGTACCTTCAAGACCACAGCTCTACTTTTTTCTTTCAATCTCTTACAATCACACAGTAACTGAACCAAGCTCTAGTGCATACTTTTCATTTAACAATTATATAGTAGTACTAGCTAGATGGTCAGAAGGACACAAATGAACCTTTCACAAGCCTGACCCTGCATCATGGTCCTCACGAAGACATCATTTCACACAGTGTCATTTGTGGAATCAGATTGTGTGTTAGATGAAAACTTAATCCCTGAAGTTATTAGGACAAAGAC